CAGAATTGCTCTTTGACCCCTTTACGTCAGCATACCAAGACATTTTGGACAATTTCATGCTCCCAACTTTGTGGGAACAGTTTGGCGATGGCCCCTTCCTGTTCCAACATGACTGCGCACCAGTGCACAAAGCAAGGTCCATAAAGGCATGGATGGAGGGTTTTGGGGTGGAGGAACATGACCTCAACCCCATAGAACATCTTTGGGATGAATTAGAGCGGAGACTGCGAGCCCCTCCCCCAACATCAGTACCTGACCTCACAAATGGTCCAACATTCCCATAGACACACTCCTAAACCTTGTGGACGCCTTCCCAGAAGAGGCGGAGCTGTTATAGCGGCAAAGGGCGGAGCCAACCCAATACTGAACCCTACGGACTAAGACTGGGATGCCATTAGAGTTCATGTGCGTGTAAAGGCGTCCCGATACTTTTGGCAATATAGTGTATTCATTATTGTCTTGTTCTGGGACGTGCTCATTCAGCTCCTCCAGAGCTGTCACTGACAGCTTCCAGGTAACTACCAATGATCTGGAGCCAGTAGGGCAGGCTTCCGATTACTGAGCAGCCAATCGCAGCGAAGGAGTGAACGTGAGCCCATCCTCAAGCCGAGATACTTCTCAGTAACCTGTACTTTGATGGGTGTTACATTTCTGGTCCCCGCGCTGTGCTCTATTGCTCCCTCGAGTCGCTACCAGATACAGTGATGAGCTAGTGGAGTTGGGCAACTCAAACCACTGAGAGCAGCTGGGCACCAAGAAATCGACACTACCAGAAGTGTCGGTTTCTGAAAAGGTTTTCAGTGCAGAGCGGGTAGCAGGAGAGGTAATATTATGTATCTTCTTTGCTGGAAAACATTTGTTTTATTATTATTATTATTACATAGTATTTATCTAGCGCCAACAGTCTGCGCAGCGCTTTACAATATAAGGAAGACATTACAATCACAATACAATTCAAGACAAGATGGTAAGGAGGGCCCCGCCCCTGAGGGCTTACAATCTAATAGGGAGTGGCCAGTGATACACGAGGAGGGAGCTGTGTGGGGATGAATTGTATGAGAACGTGATGGTTGAGCGGTTAGGTGGGATAGGCTTCCCTGAAGAGATGAGTCTTTAGAGATCGCCTAAAGACAGTCAAGGTGGGAGATAGACGGACAGGTTGGGGTAAAGAGTTCCAGAGGATGGGAGAGACTCTAGAGAAGTCCTGGAGGCGAGTATGGCAAAAAGTTAGGTTGAGGTGGGATCGGCTTCCCTGACGAGATTAGTCTTTAGGGATCGCCTAAAGACAGTCAAGGTGGGAGATAGATGGACAGGTTGGGGTAAAGAGTTCCAGAGGATGGGAGAGACTCTAGAGAAGTCCTGGAGGTGAGTATGGCAAAAAGTATGGCGAGTTTTAGCAAAAAAGTCACTTGTGAAAGCGGTCGTGTCTGCTTTTGGTTCAGATCAAGCAGTCAGCAGCAAATCACATGCTACAGGCCAGCCTTTTGGGTCTGGTAGACAGAAATCTGTGGTTGGGCAACTTGAAGAACTACAGAAGGTGGATCTCGGAACTATAAAAGACAGAAAATCTTCTGTTTAATGAGCCATTCAGGAACCTATATTGAAGGCCATGGGGGG